AAGCTGAGAGGTTGGTGCGAGGACCTCTCTGTGAAGAATAAATCTGATTTGGTTCAGGTTGGATTTGGATTGAACTGAACTCCAAGTCCATATCACCAAATCACCTGCCAACAATGGACGTTTCAACATTCTCCCAACGTGATCTGACACCACACATCTCACTATAACACTAGGATTCACCATAAAAATATGAGATGTGCGGTGCCAGATACGTTTGAAGAGTGTTGAAACAAGTGATCCCAACTCCTAAACATGCGAGGTCCCAGGCCGTAGAAATAATCCCATCAACGGTGCTTCAGTTACAAACGTGGTGGCTGAATTGCTGGTTTTTCTTCTTATGGTCCCCATGTAAGCTGAATTCCGTGTTAGGTTTTCAACGCAAGAATTGCCGATTGGGTGTTGGGACAGTTCTTGGTGGGAGATCACAACTCCCTTAACGTTGTTCCCTGGCTATAGAGTTTTCGTGGGCAGGAGATCCAGATTTGCAGAGTACAATCTCACCCTATCGACTCCAGATCTCCTGCCCATGCCTATTCACAATACACCACTCCCCGTGAATTGGGAACATCTTCCCCTGCATAATATTATGCAGAAGATGAAATGTTCTCCATGTGTGGCTGCGATAAACATGGGCAGGGTTCTCGTGGGCAGGAAATCCGGACTTTGCCCTATCAACCATTATAGGGTTTTAACTGTTCAGTCCACCCATATAAATGTTAGCTCCACACTAGAGTTTTAATTGCCAATGCTTTATGTCCAGTGTCAAGTAATCCTTTTTAAATTGTATTGGGTTTCATTCGAGTGGCCTTCCCTTGGTTGTCATTCTTAGGGGTGTTCACATTAAATGTCAAACCGACCAAATCAGCTCGACCCAATCCGAGTTAGTCAGTTCTTCAAAACCATCGGTCGGTTTCGGTTTGTATAAAAAAATAAACCAATAACTCGGTTCAGTTTTGGTTTTCATGTATAAAGTAAAAACGTAAAACCAATACAAATATAATGCAATAGTACAATATTTAATTCAGTTTTGTATAAATATAAATATATATTGACAAAAAAATCAATTTTGCATAAAAATTTAGTTGATTTAAATATATATTTTGATTTTGCATAAAAACTAAAAAGAAATAAAATTAAATATTAATAAATATTTTAATTTAAAATATATATATAAAAACTGATTAAACCAATAAACTGACCCAAACTAACCCTTCATGTTTGGGTCGGTTTTGCTTCAAGGTCAGTCGATTTCAGTTTAATCAATAAGTAAACTGACTATATCAGATTGGTTGAAGAAAATAACTCAAACCGACCCAACCCGACCCATGAATGGTCGGGCAGACCCAACAGAACCAAATCAAACCTCTCCTATTGGTCTGGTTCAGTGGTTCTGCTTTACATTAACCAATCAGTATCGGATTGGTCTCGGGTTTTGACATTACGTCTCAATTACAAATGAATTGAGATTGGTTTTGTTCTTGTCAAATTAATTAAGACCCGCTGAATGTATTTTGCTAAGATACCCTTCTTTCTCATGTCATACTTGTAATTTGTCCAAATGTGTAAATTTAAAAAATTAATAGATTTATTATCAATGAATGAATTTACATCAGCCCCCCACAGAGTGCCCCACTAATGACTCTGGATCTCATACATACAAGAATACTATCCACGTTTATTCACATGACAGTATGACACTACAGCTATACATTGAGAATATCTCTCCATTTAAATTTTGAAGATGTTCTCAATGCACAACTATAATGTCTGTGGTTAAACGTGGGTAAAATTTCTGTGGACAAGATATCTGAGATCCCCACAAACTCCCTGTAGCATATCCCATATAGACCTGTTCATGGGCTGGGCCGGGCTTGGGCCGGGCTTTTACTCTTTATTAACAAAAAAATGTTAGGCCCGAGCCCGAGTCCGGTCCGACCAACAGGCCTACAACTTGGGCCCGAGCCTGGCCCTGATAAAAAGCCCGAAGCCCGACCTAATAAAAGAAATTCGAATTTTTCCCTATTCAAATGAACATTATCTATTTTAATTCAGATGTTTTTCTCCCCTATTTAAATGAACAATGGGCCTACAAGTGAATCAACAACCTTCTTAAATCAAAAAATTTACTCAAATGGACATCACATAGGGTTTTTACTTAGGTTTAACTATAGGTCGGGCCGGGTCGGGCTCAGGTCGGGCTCAGGTCGGGCTCAGGTTTGGCTATTTTGGCAAAGCCCGAATCTGGCTCAAATTTTATGCAGGCCGGGCTTTTTTGGCCCGAGGTTAAGCCCGTAGGCCAAAAAGCCTATTCAAGCCCATCCAGGGAATGGGCCGGGTCAGGCCGGCCCGTCAAACCACCCGGCCCATGGTCTAATCCCATATTAGAAACATCTCCCAGCGACAATTTTGGAAAATGTTCCCAATGCTGAAATATGCGTTTGGGGTAGTTGTGATGTCATTATTAAATTGGAGTGTAAAAAAGACAAAAAACAGAGCTATCAATTATGATGGGTTAGTCTCGGGCTCAGGCCTTTTTTTGGTCTAAGGCTCAGGCCTTTTTTTGGTCTAAGGCTCAGGCCTAATAGTACAGATTAATAATTAGGTTGGTTTTTTATTACCATAGGGCATAGGCCATATATCTTTTGGTTTCAGTCCTTTCGGAAGGTTATCCCATTTTACAATTATTTATTTATTTCTCGATTTTATTTTAAAATCATATTTATGATATTTTCTTTTTTAGTTTATTCCAAAATTCCACCTCTGATATTGTAGCAAGGAGATTGAATTTGCTTCTCACAGAACACGCCGCGCAAGGCTGAAGGTGTGCATGAATATCTCCCTTACTTCAACGTATTTGATGTTATTATTCATGGAAAAATATTTCCAATAATACACGGCTACTGAGGTTAGTGGGAGGCTCGGTATACGAGGAATAAATCGGAATTCTGTAGCAAGTACTCTTTTTATTGTGTCATATTCCCACATGTAACTATTAATCCCAATTCCCAACTATACACATATATATTGAATTGGGAACATGTTTTTAGGTCGGTGTTTGGAGAATTGGGATGTTCTTCACACAGGGCGTAAAGACCCCTTCTATTATAAAGACTGTGACAAAAACCTCCTTATACTTTGTTTTACTACAAAGACTTCTCTGTATTATGACCAGACAAAGACCTTTTTTGACCGTTAAATCAAAATAACGGAATGTGTTAAATTACTAAAACATCTTATTAAATTTTTTGTATTTTCTTTTTTTTACCATTTTTCTCTTAAAACCTATATAACCTAGTGTTTTCCCTTTCTTCTCTCCTTTTCCTCTCCCTCACTGTCCTCCTCTCTTACCTTTCAATTCCAGAAAGAAAATATATAACACCAAAAAGAATTATCACGATGAACAGGTAAGACGATAACTTTGGGGAGAAATCTCTATCTCGATGAACAGTTGCCGTGACCTTTGTCACCGCCGAACCAGTTGCTGCCCCGCTCTCGATGGGGATCAGAGATCAGAGGATTACAGCGGCGGCGGATTCGGACCCGTCACCAACGCCTTCGCTTCCACCGGCAGAGGATTGCAGCGGCGTCCCTCTTTTGAAGACTCCTCTGTCACCGCCGAACCAGTTGTTGCCCCCTCTGTACTTCTGCCGAACCAGTTGCTGGCTCGCTCTCGATGGGGATCAGAGATCAGAGGATTGCAGCGGCGGCGGATTCGAACCCCTCATCGACGCTTCCGCTTCCACCGGCGGATTGCAACGACGTCCCTCTTTTGAAGACTCTCTATCACCGTCGAACCAATTGTTGCCCCCTTTGTACTTCCGCCGAACCAGTTGCTGCCCCGCTCTTGATGGGGATCAGAGATCAGAGGATTGCAGACACCTCCGCTTCCATCGGTGGAGGATTGCAGTGGCGTCCGTCTTTTGAAGATGTCCCCCTCCACTTCCACCACCGCCTCCGCCTTCAAACCCGTCACCAATTTCCACGGCGGCGTATTCGTTTTCTTTTTCTATTTCAGCTCCTTCCCACAGTTGCCGCGACCTCTGTCACCGCCGAACCAGTTGTTGCCACCTCTGTACTTCTGCCGAACCAGTTGCTGCCCCGCTCTTGATGGGTTGGTGTTTAGTAGAGCGAGCTCTCACACGTCTTTCGCCCTCTGGTTCAGTTGTTTGAAGCAAGGTTAAAAATTTCACAACGTATCGGATCGTATGGACCGATACGTATCGTTCTGGTATAAATCCGATACATGGAATACATATAAATTATCTGTACAAAACCGATACAGACCGATACAGCCTGATACAAGTCCCCTTCTCTCTCATTAATTTCATTAAATTATATTTAAGGCCGAATTATCTCTCATTAGTTATATATTTATTCCTATATTTAAATGAATTTCTCTCTCATTAATTAGTTAATTACTTTTATAATTAATGCATAATTTTAAATTTGAATTTCAGTTTTAGCGCCTAATTAATTGGAATTCTCTTCTCGTTAATTTCGTTAATTAATAACCCTCTTTCTCATTAAATTCGTTTTGTTAGTATAAAACTACAAATTAACAATAGCAAGATTCAAACACTAAACATTAGGCTTTAAGAACTAGAGGATTACCACTAAGCCATGCCCATTTGCTTGTTATTTGTTTATGCATTTTTATTTTTAAGTAATTTTTTCTTTTTCTTAGTGTATACTTATCAATAAATGTTAGAATTAATTATTAAAATTTATGTATTAATAAATATTAAGATAAGTTATATTGATTATTTTAAAACTAATGTATATCAATATATATTTTAGTTTTTTTTTTTAATTTTTTCACGTTTTAGTTATTCCATCATTTGCCAACAGTTATTAAGTGTGTCTCGATATCTAGAATTTTATATAGACCATTAAATTATAGTTTTTTACTTTTAAATAACTTATTTATAATCATCTAAAACTTATAACTAACGTTATTAATATATTTTTTAGGATTTATTTAAGCTTTTTAGCATATATTATGCATATCTTGATTTTTCATCTGTATCCATACGTGTTCAAAGCATATCCCGATACGTTTTTTAAAATTATCTTTCCGATATACCTTACATTTCCGATACTTTGAACCTTGGTTTGAATTAGTTAATTATTTTCTGCTACTGTTAACGACTTGAGAGAAAAAATAGGGGGGAGAAACGAGAGAAATGTGGGAAGTTGGTTCCGAGTTATGATTTTATAGTGTAGTGGAGCATCTTGACTTGGTACTGAGGAATAAGACCCGTAGAGGGAATGAAATTACAGAAACAAAACGACGATAGGGCCGGCAAAGGGGAAGAAGAGAGATCGGAGAGAGAGAGGGAGAGTGAGGTTAGGGAAGATGAATAATATTTTTTCATTCGAATAGTTATTACAAGGGTAGTATAAGGATTAAAAAAATTACAACGACCTTTTTGGATGGAAGACTAACCAAATGAGGTCTTTGTCTCACGGTCATAGTACATGCAGAGTCGCAAAACAAAGTATAGGGGGTCTTTGTCACAGACGCCATAGTATAGGGGTCTTTATAATTTATCCTAATAACATATAAGTACAATAGAGATTCTCAATGCATAGAGGGATGTGCCTGTAAGATCGGTGTGAAGTTGCCCGATGAGGAGGAGATCCGGACTCGCTGAAATTCACCCAGTATTGGTTCGTAAAAGACTGGATCTGCTCCTTACATCTGGCGCCTCACACGCACATCCTACTATGCATTGGGAACATCTCACGTACTTATTAATTATTCACGGGAGATGTTCTCAATGCACAGTAACTGTGAGGCGCCCGAGTAGATCCCGCTTCTCCTGGTATCTATAAATTTCTGACGCCCTGAACGTTTTCCTGTAATTCCATCATTGTTGGATTTTTTTTTTAATTATCTCTAACTGTGATTTATTCTTTTTTTTCTCCATTGTTTGTTGTTTACTTCTTGCTGGTGCTAATCACTTACGAACTTTGGTGGTTCTAGAGCCATGAATCTGATCCACAAGTTCCTCAACTTGGTGCTTCCTCCTATAGCTCTCATCATTCTCTGTGTCAGCACACTTTTCTTGTTGATCTTCAGGTTGTTCTCTTGTATCTCACGCTCCATCTTTAGCGAGAACATGGCTGGAAAAGTCGTAGTCATCACCGGAGGTTCTTCAGGAATCGGAGAGGTTTACAGAAGTTCAACTGTCTGGAGATCAGTTCCAGTTCACTATTGCATTTCATCAGTTTATTAAACTGCACCACGCTCGCCTGATCTTTGATCTTATATTTTGCAGCATATCGCTTACGAGTATGCCAAAAGGAGAGCTTCCTTGGTCCTTGTTGCAAGAAGAGAAGCCAAACTTCAATCAGTCGCAGAAAGGACTCGTCAGCTTGGCTCCCCGGATGTTGTGATCGTTCCTGCAGATGTTTCCATGGCTGCAGAATGTAAACGATTTGTCGAAGAAGCAGTGAATCACTTTGGCCGACGTAAGCCCAAGTTCTAAATAATTGGTTCCAGTGAAATTTGGATCCCCTATAGAGTGTAATATATGCTTCATTGGTCTGGTTTTGCAGTGGATCATTTGGTCTGCAACGCCGGAGTTGTTGTCTATTGCCCCGTTGAAGATACAACCAATGTTGAAAAGTTGAGACCTGTGATGGTAATCTATGAAGAAGATAGAATTAAACATATTTCTGTCTGTCTGTAATTGACATGTTCAACTGCTTCTGTTCAGAGTTCAAACTAATTAACAGTATAGAAGCTGCTATTGATGTTTGGTATATTTGTTTCAGGATATTAACTTCTGGGGACCAGTTTATGCTACCCATTTTGCTCTTCCTCACCTCAGAAAGAGCAAAGGAAGGATCATAGTGAATGCTTCAATGAAAGGGTGGTTGGTCTCACCCTGGTCGATCTTATATGGAGTAAGTCATCTCTTACCAATGGAATGAACCCACTTCTCAGTAGATCTTCTAGTTTCTTAATTATTTTGGTTTCCTTCATTAAGCTGAAATTCTTTGTGGGGGTTTTCACTTTTCAGGCAAGCAAAGCTGCCATAGTAAGCTTCTGCGAAACACTTAGAGTTGAGTTGGCACAGGATGTGAAAGTAACCATAGTGGCACCTGGGTTTGTAAATTCAGAAATCACCCAAGGAAAACACATATCCAAGGAAGGTGAAGTGGAGGTAGATCAAGAAATGAGCAAGGTGAGCTAAGCTTATTGATTTTTGTTTTTTTTTCTTTTGTTTTTGTTTTTTTTTTTTTTTTTTGTACTTTAGGAGATTATCAGTTTGGCAGATATGCTTTAATTTACTAGTGAATTTGTTTTCAAAAATCACAAATTTTATGGTACAAAACTAAAAGCATGTTTTCTGAAGTTTCGCAGCACTTTCTTGCAGCCACTCAATGACCCAGTGGAAAACTATTTTTGTTCTTCCATATGCTTTTTATTTAGGATTTCTTTGCTTCTACCTAAAGCGTTTAGTACAAATTTGTGTGATTTTTTCTGCTGAAACTTTGTGGCCGGTTTTGTTTTTTGTTTTTAGTTTCTGGTTCATGGCGCCTTATGGCCTCATGGGGTGAGACAACGGGGTACCCCATCCCCCAACTCCAATGAAAACTTGTGGGTTGATGAAGATGAATATAAATTGTTGTTTATACTTGTAATGTCAAATTTGACTTGCAACCAGTGTCAATGACCCATCTCGGGAATGCATTTTTATAGTTGAACAGACTAGATCTCATATGTGATGAATCCAAAACGTTTCAGGTAGAAACAGAGTAGTACAAATACTATCTTAATTGATGGCATACGGGTATTTCATTGAGGGTACAGCATAGGATATTGCTTTAACCATGGTCACAGCAGATGTGATTAGGGGTGAGCAAGTAAAACTGAACTGAACCGATTAGACCGAACAAAAAATTCGGGTTAATCAAATTGGTTGGTTAGGTTTTGGTTAACTAATATAAAAAATCGGCATTAATCAAATTCGATTGGTATATATATTATATATATTTTATATTATCTATATATTTTTATTATTTATGATATAATGTTTTATATATTTATATATATTTTATAAAGTAAAAAAACCAAAAATCCAATGAATCAAACTGACAGTTAAGTAAATCGATCAACCAGTTAACTGATCGGCTTTGGTTCGATTTTGGTTACCGATTTTTGAAAAACTGATACTACTGATTCAGTTTGAAATTTAGGCCCACGGTTCAGTTTGAGCACCCCTAGATGTGATATCGGTTTTTTGGAATTGAAACATCTGTTGTAATCTTTCTGATTCCCTATTAGGCTGTGTTTGGTTGCAATACAAATCAATTTGCACTGATGCAAAATCATGGCAGTGCAAATGATTATTATGTAAATTATGACCTATTTTTTGTTTCAAATTTTAGCTTATTTTGTTTGATTGCAGTATAAGTGAAGTAAATTAAGACATAAAGCAGGATGAAGTAAAATCCAAAACAAAATTATATAAACAAGAATTTGCATTTTTTACATTTGCACTCCCATGCATTTGTACTAGTGCAAATAAATTTGCACTGCAACAAAACACAGCTTAAGCTTCGTTTGCTCTAGATTTAAACTTGACACAAATTTTGCACCTAGTTAAGCTTTGCATACATTTATTATTGTTACTATAACTTGTACCTTTACCTAATGCAGAATTTGTACTTTTGCCTCATTTACATTCAAGAGCAGTGCAAAATTTATATCCTACATGTTGATGCAAAATTTGTACCACCTTCCTCCTACCTTAATTCTCTCATATAAAATGGGGACCATATTACATCACTACAAATTAAATTTGCACTGCAAACGGAGTCTAATAGGGATACCGACACACTGGTGGTTGTATTTAAATTCAATTGAGGATCATGAGAAAATGCTGCAACCATGTGTGAAACTTGTGGTACCAGCTAGCAAGCTATAAATGCTGCCACCAACACGGTAAAGATCACTTTTAATTTGCACTACATACTTGAGAGCACTCAAATAAGGGAAATTGGATTTGGTGCTCACACTGTTCTCATAATACTTTTCAACTATGCATTAAGCTCAGTTTGAAAGGAGTACAAATATAAATATGTAGAATGCAAAACCTTGCATTTTGTATTATTTTAAATGTGTTTGTATTCTATATATTTGTATTTGTACTCTTTCGTCTTTCCAAATTGAGAACATCTCCCCATGAATAAAAAGATATAAGTATGGAAAAATTCCCAATGCACAGCTGTAAAGGTCTGTAAAGTACTGAATCTGCCCTCCAAACAAGGGTTAATTAGCATTACACAAGGTCTCAAAACTTTCCTAACACCATGCTTCTTATGATGTGCCTTTGTTTAAATGTGCTACGGAGGATGCATTATTCCGTCCTCTCATACATTTAAATTGACAGATCAGAACTGTTGAGGTTGGACTGCAAGATTTATAGCCAAAATGTAGATTGGTCTTAGGGTGTCCTATTCAAGTTTTAATAAATTCTCAACCCAAACCTGTCCTAAATGCACCCCTACCAATTATGCACAATTTTTATGGTAAAAAAAAATTATGGTAAAATTGCTCTTAGAAATAAGTAACCTATATATACAAAATATATGCATGAAAAAACCCACTTAATTGATTGGTTACCACTTTTATGATCGATGCTGGCTGATTGGTTAATGGGTATTTCATGGTTTCGCAAAATCCTAGACAGGTCAGTGTCTTATTTTCTTTTAATTTTTGATAGTGTAATAGTCAGGTCAGTCAGTCATCAGTAGAGGTTAGCTGGGACTCAAGGGTGGGGAGAGAGACTGGAGAATGTGAAGACCCATTAATACCATAACATGGAAACCTACACAATGGGAGTAACCATTTGGTCATCAGCAGACAGACCAAGGAAACAAATTGGCCAAACCCAATATATCCTAATTGCATTTCATTGAACATTCAACATAATCAAATTTATGCACAACATCCACCCCAAATGCTGTTTATGGCTCCAATACAAAATCAGTTGCTATGAGCATTGATCTGTTCCACAATAAAACTGGTCTTGAAATCCTGTCTATTGTAAAAGGTCTTAAAAGCTTGTCTAATGAATTCATATATGAGAATTGTTTAGTGATAGTTAAGCAATGGTGATATATGTGATCAATGGACAGGTTATGTCCGGAAAATTCCCAGTTGAAAGTACAGAGGACTGCGCCAGGGCGATTGTGGATGGGGTATGCCGTGGAGATAGATATATTATAGAGCCATCATGGTACAGGATCCTGCTACAGTTCCAGTTCTTGTGCCCTGAGCTTGTTGAATGGTTTGCCCGCTCACTATATAAAACCAAGCCACAGGATGCAGCAACAAAGAGGGATGCCATGGGACTGAAGAAGTACTAAGAAGGTTCAAGAATGGATTAATTACTTGGATTTGAAGTTTTTCATGTATATTTGAATGCATAATAAGGTGCTTCAGAGTGGTTTTGTTTACAGTATTTCTCTCTTAAAGTGATTGCTAATCGTCTCCCCCTATATGCATGGGGGCTCTGCCTAAAATTAAATTCGTGATGTATACTTGTTCAAATAGATTTTTGTTTCATCAATGGAGAAGATGAAGCTCCATTTACTCAGCTTAACTCCTGCTTTATCATCACCACTCAAACAATATTGAACTTGCAAAGTCGGAAGTGGATCTGGTTATTTCAACGAAGAAACTATCAAGTCCAGAGACAGAGAGAGAGATGGCATAGCTAGGGTTGTACAGTGGTCGGTTTGATTCAGTTGCAAGTTATTTGGCCCATCGAACCTACCTGCTCGGCTTGATGAAGTAGGCCACTCGAAACCAACTGAACTTGAATGAAAACTGACCCAAACATGAAGAGTCAGTTTTGGTTGGTTCCTCAGTTTGGTCGGATCAGGTCCAAACTATTTAGAGCCAAAATTTATTAGCCCATGTGAAAGGGAAAAACTGCAAATTAAAAAGAGTTATAAATTAACCACATACTGTTTAGAGACAAAACTCCAATCACTAATTTGAATCAATAAACCACAGATATTAGAATTTAGATGGATCTAAGATAATAAAATACAGTAAAACATGCAAATTAATTGAACAATAGATAGTATTAGAGAGAGAGATGATAAAAGGTACAAAATGGAAGTCTTCTATAATCTTGAGTGCTTGTAGGTTGCAGCCTTGCACTTGTAGGTTGTATGATTGGTTGTTCCTTGATTTTCTTGAAGAATGAAGAAAATGGAGATTGCAGAATGGAGAATTTGTTTGGGTTTTGAACTTTAGAGTGATAGAGGCACATAATCCTTCTATAAGAGAAAGAGCAGAACAATAAAGGTAGAATGACTCAGTCGAATTATGACTGGTCTCTTGAGCATTAAATAGATAATCAGTTACAAGGGGATAGCTATGTACAAGAGATAACAATTACAAAGTTAGAGTTTAACAAGGAAACTATAAGAAGATAAACTATCCTAGCAATGTACACGATAATGAGATAAGGTAATCCCAGTTATCTAAGATAGTTATCGTTGCTGAGATAACTACCCTAGTCACAAGCCTATTGAGACAAAGATACTCTAACATCCCCCACAAGCTTAGCGGTCTCTTGGAGACGGTAAGCTTGGCTGTAAGTTCATGAAACCTCGTTGATGGCAGAGGTTTGGTAAAATTGTCTGTAATCTGATCATGGTTGGGAATGTGATTGATCAGTAGAAGTCCATCTGCAACTTTTTCTCGTATAAAGTGAACATCCAATTCCATGTGCTTGGTGCGAGAATGGTGGACAGGATTGGATGAGAGAAACTTGGCTCTTAAATTGTCGCACCAGATGACAGGTGGTCGAGGGAGCTTCAATCCAAGTTCCTTTAGTAACATCTAGAGCCAAAGAAGTTCAGTGATAGTGGAGGCAAGACTACGATATTTTGACTCTGTGCTGGAGCGAGAAACCGTGGACTGTTTACGAAAGCTCCATGAAATCAAATTACGGCCTAGGTAAACACAAAAACCCCCTTGGGAGCGACGATCAACAGGGCAACTAGCCCAATCAGCACCAGAAAAGGCTTCGAGAGCCAATTCTTGAGAAGAACAAAAAATAATGACATGGTCAATTGTTGACTTAAGATAACGAATGATCCTCTTGACTGCACTCCAATGAACATCGGTGGGCTCCTTCATAAAATGACAAACTTTGTTAACAGAGAAGCTGATATCCGGCCGAGTAAGTGTAATATATTGCAGCGCCCCTACCACATTGCGGTATTTAGTGGCATCTAGAAGAGGAGAACCATGAGTGACATCAAGTTTGGTAGATGCCACCATAAGTGTATGAATTGGTTTAGCCTTATGCATCTTGGTCTTGACGAGAAGATCATGAATATATTTACGTTGGGATAAATGCACACTGTCTATAGTGCGATGAAGTTCCAACCCTAGGAAGTAATGAGCTTCCCCAAGATCTTGAAGAGAAAAAGTGGTAGAGAGCTGAGAGATGAGTTGAGTAAGTGAAGAATTAGAAGATCCAGTGATCAATATGTCGTTCACATATACAAGAAGGAAGATGACATCGGTACGCATGAATAGAGAACTATCCGCTTGGGATTCCAAAAAACCAAGATGAACTAAATGATCTCTTAATAAAGTAAACCATAAAGGAAACGTTTAAACCAACATACAAAATGTGGTCGTGCTTGAATCAACAAAACCCATGGGCTATTTCATAAACACTTCTTCACTGAGGTAGCCATGAAAAAAGATGTTGCTCACATCAAGTTGTCTAAGATTCCAGCCATAGTGAATTGCAAGAGATATTATTAACCGAATAGTGGTAAGTTTAACAACAGGACTAACCGTCTCAGCAAAGTCAATGCTAGCTTGTTGAGTAAACCCTTGCGCAACCAATCGTGCCTTATATCTTTCAATGGTCCCATCCGGACGTCTCTTAATCTTATAAAGCCAACGGTTTCTCATAATGTTCTTCTAAGGAGGCGGAGGTACAAGATCCCATGTATCATTGTTTAACAAGGCCTTGTACTCTTCCTCCATGGCGAACACCCAATGAGGATCTTTGTTTGCAATAGTGTAGCAAGAAGGTTAAAGATTGGGGTCAACAGAGGCTTCTAAAGCATACCTAGGGTTTGGTTTGCGAACACCACTTTTGCCTTGTGTCACCATGGGATGATTATTAAGTGGTGGTGCAGTGAAACAAGATGGTGTATTCGATGGAGGTGATGATGGCTGGATTAATTCAGCAGAACCAACATCAGTGGATACAATAGGTGGGCTAATGGAGGTAGTTCCAGTGGCGACTGGAATGTGTACAGGAGAAGGGCACAAATATGTAACAATAGGTGGGTCAACTGTAGTGTTCGTAGCTAAACTGGGAACTAGAGTGGAGTTGCTAGAAGTACATGGAAAGGTATGCTCATCAAAAACCACATTCCGAGAAATATAGAGACGACCGAATGTTAAGTCCAAACATTTATACCCTTTGTGATGTAAACCGTAACTCAGAAACAAACAACATTTGGAGCGGTAGTCCAGTTTAGATTGATTATAGGGTCTAAGATGTAGATAGAAAACACATCCGAAAGCGCGCAACATATTGTAATTCGGGTGTGTGCCAAAGAGACACTCTAATTGGAATTTCATTTGTAGTATTGGAGTAGAAAGCCGGTTAATTAAAAAAACTGTAGTCTCAAAAGCATCATACCAATGATGTTTGGGCATTGAAGCTGTAGGTAGGAGGGTGAGACCCATTTCAACAATATGGTGATGGCATCGTTCTACAACCCCATTTTGTTCATGAATATGGGGACATGAGAGATGATGAGTGATGCCCGAATTGGAGAGAATAGGTAGAAGTGGCTTGTACTCTGTACCTCCATCTGTTTGTAGAGTTTTGATAGAAGTATTCAATAAATTCTCCTCATTCTTCTTAAAAACAACAAAGATAGAAACAACTTGAGTTTTAGAGGCCATAGGAAAAATCCATATATACTTGTTGAAAGCATCAACAAAAATCAAATAGTATCGAAAACCATGTCTTGTAGAGACAGGGGCTGATCCCCAAACATTAGAAAATAAAAGTTCTAATGGATACTTTGCAACAAAATTACTAATAGAAAATGGCAAGGTATGACTCTTGCCCAAAGGACAGGATGAACAAAAAGAGATGTCCTTATTTGAAACTAGAAGCTAAAATGAAGATAAGATGTGAGTAGCAATTCGCTTGCTAGGATGTCCTAGCCACTGATGCCATACTGAAACATATACTTTCTCCCCAATGAATGCCAATGGAGCTTTATTTGTGCAATTTGCCTTCAGTTGATAGAGCCCTTCTTTAATCGGCCCTTGGAGGAGAATTTTCCCAGTCACATTGTCCTTAACAGAGAAGCCAGTAGCGTCAAAAATAAAAGTTGCATTATTATCCTTGCAAAACTTGCTGATAGAGAGTAAGTTCTTAGAGATATTAAGAACTCTGAGAATATTATTCAAAACAAGAGACCCATAATCAATATTCATAATAGAAGAGCCAATGTGAGATATTTCTAGACCTGTACCATTTTCGACTGTGATGTGATCTGTTCCATGATACTCATCGTGAAGAGAAAGGTTCACAAGATCTGAAGTCGTATGATTGGTTGCTCTTGAATCATGATACCAATTGTCATCACGAACTAAGCGCGAAGATGATGCTGTATGAGCTTGCTTGTTATTTTTATTGGAAGTAAGTTCCAGATAACAACAACAAGTAGCTGTTGTATGGCCAAGATACCCACATAGTTGGCAAACTACTGTGGTGTGCTTAAGATTGGATTTGCCTCGATTATTGTTATGGTTGTAGGAGGTTTCTTGGAATTGTCAGAATCACCACCATTATTGAATTGTCGAGGCTTATAAGAGGATGATTGATTGTGATGAAAGTTTTTCTTCTTATTGGCCAATTAGCAAAGGGAGATTCCACTACAGATTGTGAAAAGAGTGACGCTCTTAAGTGCTTTTCAAAGTAAGTAACAAACTTTGAATTTCAGAAAAATAGAGACTATCTAGTCTAGTAGTCACAAAGAGCACAAAAATATCATATTTAGTAGGTAAACCACCAAGAAGATAATGAATTTGACCAACATTAGTGAGGAAATGTCTAGAGTCAGCTAATGCATCAAACAAACTTTTAATTTTTTGAACATAATCAGTAACAATGAGAGTACCTTTCTTCAAATAGGCTAACTCTAATTTCAAATCATGGATTCGAGTCTGACTTGAGGAAGAAAATAAGACATGAAGTCGATCCCATACCTCTTTGGACATCTTATAGCCGACAACTTGAGTCAAAACTGGCTTTGTTAACAAAGATAATAACCGGCTTATGATTTACTGGTCTTGTTCGATCCATGCTGCATGATCCAAGTTGCTGCAGCTGGATCCTTGGCTACTTCCTTCCAAGAAGAGTGGGGGACAGGGAAAAGATCCGCCTACATAGCCATATAGACGATGCCCTCTGAGAGATGGTGTAGTTTGAGAGCTCCAAAGCAAGAAGTTGGTATGATCCATTTTTGCTGAAACTACATTCATAAAGATGGAAAGTGAGACTACCATAATAATTCGACCATCTGTCGGTCTAGGCTGCATCTGTCTTTGGACGGCATGAGCAGTGGTGCTTGTCTCTGAAGCCATGGACGTTTGTCAAATGGCTCTGATACCATATAAGAGAAAGAGCAAAATAATAAAGGAAGAATGACTGAGTCGAATTATGACTGGTCTCTTGAGCATTAAATAGATAATTAGTTACAAGGGGATAGCTATGTACAAGAGATAACAATTGTAGAGTTAGAGTTTAACAAAGAAACTATCAGAAGACAAACTATCCTGGTAATGTACAGGATAATGAGATAAGGTAATCCTAGTTATCTAGGATAGTTATCATGGCTGAGATAACTATCCTAGTCACAAGTCTATCGAGACTGAGATACTCTAACACCTTCAAGTTCATCTTAGAAGAAGCTAAAGGACAAAGGCTAGAGGTTAGAGGAGCATCAATTTTTTTTTTCAAGCCCCAAACTTTACTCTAGGTGGAGGGGTGGCCACCTAACCATTAATTATCAAAAGGAAGAAAAAATAATATAGGAGAGAACATAGCCCACTTGCCCCATACCCAGGATTAGATAAAGGAGCATCAACAATTATTAAAAGGAGAAAGGACAACTTCTAATGCATATTGGGACATGTAAGAGAGAGAGAGAGAGAATCGGGTTTCCCATTTTTGGCACCCAATACTCTAGACTAGAAGATTGGTAGAGGTGTTAAATGGGCCAGCCGGGCCGTGCTAAAGGCGGACCATGCCGCCCTCCCCGATGGAAATTTTGGGGGTCGTTTTGGCATGGTCCACGGCCTAGGCCCAGGCGGGCCCGTGCCGTGCTATGCTGTGGGCCTGGGTCGGGTTGGGCTACAAGCCGTGTTGGGTTGGGCCAAAGGGCAAGCCTTGGGCCTGGGCCGAACCGGGCTGCACTATTTTTTATTTTTTTTTGAAAATTTTGATTTCTTATCTAAATAAATTTGTAAAATTAAAATATTTAACTTTCCTTTGAACGTTGGGATTTGGGAACTATTTAAAAATTAAGAAATGAGAAATCTAAGTTATCTAACACATAAATGAAAAAAAAAATACTTAACCAAATTAAAATAAGAATGATGGAATAACAAATTGGAAGAAAAATAGGAATTTTATTTCATTTAAATTTGAATGGAACAAATTACAAATACAATGATTGGATCATGGCATACTTGGATGAATCATGAATGAAATATGAAAATGGAATAAATTAATAAAATATAAAAAATACAATATGGTTACAAATTGAAAATACAAAATTACATTGTTAAAAAATTAAAAAAATATATATGAAATACATTAAGTAAAATTAAAAAATTACAATAATTTGAAAAAATAAAAAATTCTATACAAGTAGTCAAATTCATGAATCATCATTCATGACTTTCATCATCTGCTTCCGGTGAAATATCCGGTGTAGTATCATGCCTCCCTTGTCTTGTAATCTATCTTTTGCATCTAGCCAATCCTTGAAGCAGATGCACATCTCTATGCTCTCATCGTTCATGTAGCTTCTTTTGTCATCTAGTACCCTGGTACCTACACTAAAACAAGACTCCGATGGAAATGTAGACACCAGGGGGGTTAGTAAATCACGTGCCATGATGGTGAGAATCGGATTATTTTTCGAATGTTCACTCCATAAGGCTAAAATATCAAAATTATTTGATCCTTCAATAAATGAACTTGTTGTAGAACTGACATATTTTTGCCTTCTACCTATTAAATAAAAAAGTTTTTCTCTTCTACTACTGGGCTCAAGGTCAGAAGTAGAAGAAGATGATAAACAAGTTGTAGGAATATTTCCTACAACTTCAAATTCATACAAAGTGTACATTTCAAATAATAAAATATTAATTTCTTCTTTTTTATTTCCTATATCAGTATTCATATTTTCACAATATGATTCAAGTAAAATATCTAAACCTTCTTTCCTAATCCTAGGGTCTAATATTGTAGCTAAACA